CCCCGCCGGCCAGGCGCCGACGCACTGACGCAGCCGACAGGTGTCAAGCAGAGGTTGTACGCTTGGTGTGAAATAAAGAAAACAACTTCTGTCTCATATACGAAACCTATATTTATTTGTCTTCACATGAATGACCAATCAATCAAATCAGCACTCGCGCGAGCATCTCTCACCAGGAAGGCCTTAACATCACAAAACAGACTGGAATTTTCATCATAGAAGCACTTTGAGGAGGAACACTTTGTGCTGAAATCACCATTCCCATAAAACGAGGGTACAGAAAAAAGTAATCAAACTCTTTATAGAATACCTTAACTGGAATATGTGTGCATTGTGGAAGTTATATGACGCCAACACAGGGTGGTGTAAGTAATCACATGTTACGAATTTTCCCAACAGCAAAATTCTTGGAGATGTTTTGTTTGGATAACAGTTATTTAAAGGAAGGTTCGAAATTGACTTGTCTAGAAAATTTGAGGTTTAAGACCATCATGTTTGAACACACATCATTAAAGTTATTTGATGCCATCATAACCGAAACATGATACAACAGACAAATTTAACTATCTTGCATGACTTGCACGGTCCAGGCTCAAGGCACTGGAAATAATACATTACACAGTACCTTGATTTCTCAATGAGTGTTTTATATGCTTTACCATAACCATTTTTTGGGGGAGAGGGGCAAGGAGAGAGGAGATGTTCACTGGAAGACCTACCAAAAGCTGACCAGTTTATGGGAAGATATATGATAAACATGAACAAACAAAAAGTAGAAAACAAATACATCAGTTAACCAGAGACCAGCTCTGGATATTACCACAAATAGATCCATGCACAAGAAAAAAATATCCCAAATGTATCTTTGGTCCATCAAGTGGTGAACAGAACCCTTGGTTTACAAGTGTTTACACTACACAGTACTGCATTTTAATATGAATTGGGATTGAAGTACAAGGTATAGTAGTAACCAAAGAGCTGAAACTTATACACCATAATTTTAGAGATACAGGAATCAAAATAAAGAAGTGGCTTCATTTGATAGGAATTAACAAGCAAATATAAATTAGAAGCACTCTTTTACAGGGTGGAAGATTTTAAGGGGGAAATGGAAGCAGCGACTGATGTAACTTAAATCTTGAGCACAAGTTATGGGTAATAAAGTTTCAAGCTTCAAATTGGGCACGCCCTGACTCTCCAACAGCGGAATTGAACTAAACTGTTGTTTTATTATAATAGAAAAGGTTGATATCCTAGGAAACAGTAAAGCCTTGTTTTGACTCTCTGACAATATTAATTTTTTGTGTTTTGTTTTTGCAGTATGTTGCAATATTGTAATAACTCAAGGGTCTCCTAATACAATCATAATCTAGTACGTAGTGGTATGAAGAGCCCTGAGTCAAAACGAGGCTTTACCACTTCTTAATATGCAAATCTTAACTATTATATTAAGACAACGATTTAGTAGAGAAGGCTGCCAGGGAGTCAGGACATACTTGTTTTAAAACAGTAAGGATCTGTAACGGATCTGCAAAATATGTGTAGATTCAAAAATAGATTATTTTTCCCCCCGATTTGTACTTTACGGTTATGCTTGGCACCTGAACAGAGACAAAGCACAATTTCTAAACTAACACTGGGCAGTAGTATCAAGAGGTACAAAGCAAGAGCATTGTGGTAAGAAAAGACTTAAAGCAACAGGAAGAATACACACAAAACGATAGCATTAATCCCCTAACATTAGAAGATTTGAAACATTAGACAGGCAACCACAATTAATAGAGGAAAACACTGAATGACTGGTCAAGGAAGCCATAAGTGTTCTTTCTTATTGACATTTTCTGACAAGAGATGGTTCATCTAATGGTTCAGATCTAGATCTAGATGGTTCAGATCAGAATTATGTCAGGATACAAATGCAACCTAAGAAGTACTAGCAAAAACCACCATGTTTTTTAATCACATCTCTTTTTTCTTCAAATCTACCCAAAACAATTAAAAATACTGAGACCTAAAGGGGGAAGTAGGCAGGGGATGGGAATTTTTAAAAATGTCCAAACATTCATGTTTTTAGACATTGACATTTAAAAGTAGTACACATATTAAGTCCTATTCTATTCACTTGTTTTCTCCTTCTGCAAAAAAATAAATTCTTTAAAAAAATTGCGCAAAGTTGAAAGCTTGAAACAAAATTTTGTCTCTAAGAAACAGATAAGTAAATGCAGAACAATCTTGTGCACATATCATTCTATGCAAAACATAAGTTGTACTTTTGTCTCAATTTCTTGGTTATGAGTTTTGACAGAGAGTATCCTTCCAACCACCTACCATATTTTTTTACCCTTCCTCCTTATGAGTAACAGTATAAGTTTTTGTGGCCAGGTATTTCACAACGTCTGAGTTACTATGTACAATATTACATATCAGTTAGCAATCTGTAAGTCAAATATATATTCTAATATATTAAGATTCAGATAGAAACATATTTACCGATGGGCCAGCCACAGGTGGATAGACACGCATGACAATCATTTTTTAAGATATCAGCGTTTGAAACACTTTTAGTCCAAACAATGACAGAGACACCTAAGATAAAAAAAACTGCACATCAAGTGCAAATATGAACAACAGTAATCTGAATAAAGCCCACTCAAACAAGCTCAGAAAGTTACCCAGTACTCAAAATTTTAAAACATTGTATTCTTTCAGGGTAGGTCCTGGAGGGTCCCCTGTCTGGAGGGCCTCCCCTGAATTTTTTACTATTTTTTATAGTTTTTCTTTCAACAGTGGTATTTTATTTTTAACAGCTACTAAGGCCATGTGACATCAAAAACCAGTATGAAGAAAAAATCAAAAGTTTTAGAAAAGAAAGAATGACTTACATAATGGTCTGAGAGAAACAACCATTCTAAATATTTCTGAGCAAGGCGGAATCATAACATTCATCCAAACTAAATTACATCTACAAGAATTAGCCCTCAAGTTTCCAAACCCTGTGCTCAGTATTCGCCTTCTATATGAAAAATATACAAAAAAAAACAACAAAAAAACGAAAAAGAAAAGGAAAACAGTGAAAATGTTGTGTCCAAACAGTGTTATCAAAGGCAGGGTAATACCATACTTTCTGCTAATCACATCCCTTGAGCTAAAGATGGCAGTGTTTTGTTTAAACTTGAACTGGAACTTATTGACTAAGTTAGTTAGTCAGTTTGAGCATTACAGAGTATATGACATATTCATTGGGAATCACAAATGTATTTACATATTCGTCTAGTCTACATCTACCATGAGCTGTCTCTGTCATTGATTGCTTTAAACGTTGTTATAAAGCTGATACTAACAATAACGAAATAGAATTTGTAAGAGTTGTAGCAAAAATTAATTTAAGTACCTACTCTTAAAAACATTGATTTCAATCACTGAGTAGTAAACAGAATAAATACTATTAAATACTCCCACCAGTAAACACCTTCATTACAAGAAAGGCAAGAAAACCAGTACTCTGACATAAATTAAAACAGTATCATTCATTTGGGCTTAATGCAAAATAAAAGCAAGTTTTTGATATAAATAAAGGACTAAACATCACACCCTAACAAACTTGATGCATTTTTAAATCTACAACACCGCAGTTATTCCTGATTTTTTTTTTCTCCGTAATAAATTATTTGCCTTATTACTGAGTACTTACTTTTCCAAACTTTCAATTTCAAAAATGGAACGTCTCAGATTTCAATCTAATCACAGATTGAATAAGCACACAAAATAAACACACACAGCACTTACACACAGAAAAAATAGCAATACTGACTTATTTACAATGAAGCTTCAGACTATTGCTTATGAGTTGATACGATGAGAATACACAAAAGTAGAAATCAAGTTGATGATACACATAATGAAGTTGATAAATTATAATTTAAATGAGCCAATTCTAAAATCACAATTGCAATGATCATGGCACCTTGAACCCTTCAAAGTTATGCCAAGAGTGGTCTTCACTAAAATGAGGTCAACACAATACAATAATTTTTAGATCAAGTCTTAATCCACAAATATTGATTGTGTCAAATCTATCTAATATCTATGATTCTTAGTTCAGTCCATCACTATGATTTGCCTTAATTGTCCAAAATTTATACTGAAAGATGACATGAAAGGCTACATTAAATCATTAATAGATGGAGTGAGTCAGTCATATCACATTTAGAGCAGAAAACTGCTTGTAATCGGTCTAGCTGCAAGGCAGTTGCCTAGACTCACAAATATCCTTTGCAGCTTGTCAAAATATTAATTAGATCAAAAGCTGTAAAAGACACTACATGTGCGGACACTTTACAGTCAAATATTCAGGCTGTGCCCGCCTGCATCTTTATGTTATCTGTCTTCCTCCATAACCACTTGTTTAAATACCCCTGCTGACATTTGACTCTTCACTTCTTGGCTGCCCAAGGCTGTAGTTCCATCTTTTGCTATGAACAACTGCAAGCCAGATGCTGAAAAGAGCAAAAATTCATAATTAAAAAAAAATAATTCCAAGAACGTTGCACAAATCTTTAATTTTGACATATGAAGAAAAAGTTGTCTACTCACTCTCAGCAGAATCATCATGATGCTCCAGATTTGTTGATCTGAGTAACTCATCTATAAGACTATCTGGATTAACTCTTGTTACTTCTACTCGACCGGCAACCGTATTTCCACCTCCACCACTCTCCTCTGCTGCCTTTTTTCTTCTTTCCATGGCTGCTTTGGCTCGATCCAAAGATCCAGTTTCACTTAATCCTGATCCTCCACTTGGGTTCCTGGAAGAAAATTCAAGTCAAAATATTGGAATTTCTGCCAGGCATGATTTTTCTGCTACATAATAAGAATTTCTATAAGGAAAAAACACTACATTTTGATTAGAAAGTAAAATAATTTAAAATGTATTAGCAAATAGAACGGAATAGTGCAGGTCTCTTTTTCTATTCAATGTGGCTTGCATGGAAAGGAGATGTAGTGCAACCGTAACATTTAAAAATTAAGAAATTTTAGAAATTAAAGAAGGGCTTTGAGCAGCTTACTGAGGTAAAATGGTTTGCCTAGTAAAAGTGCAAATACACGAAAACAAATCACTAGATTGTTGACACTCTGAATTTTCTCACTTATATAGTAAGTTAACTGTGCCAAAAACCAGAGGAGAAAAAAAAAACAACTACTGTAATGAAAAGAGAACAAAAGAAAAGGCGACTTTTGCTAATAAGAAACTACTAAAATTAAAAATAAATACAAAAGCATTTGCTTTGGTTTTTGTATTTAAAACTATATGGCATCTACTTTGTGATAAGGTCATAAAAAATAATGTGTGCAGTAATGTAAGGCATGTAAGAGCATACACAGTGCTGCTCCTTCGATGCAACAAAGACTGCAAAGTTAATCCTTCACAGCCTTCTGGAAAGTCGTCAGGTGTGACAGCTACCGCAGCAAGTTTGCGATAAGGTCCAACTGCTCCCCTGTCAAACCAATGACACAGAATGCTAATAAACTTGTACTTTCTGAGTCTTCAAACTGTTAAAAGAATAAGACCATTGAGTCACGCAGAATCACACATAAAAACAACTTAGTCAAAGAGAAATCTCAATGAAATAAATTAATTATATCGCTGAAGAAAATTCATCTATCTATTCCAAAAACTGACATAATATCTACTAACAAACTATTTAAGTAAGCTAACATGCGTTTGAATCAAATGGCAGTGCACCTGATACAATCTGTTGTCTGTTGTTGCGGTGAGCTTTGTTGTGTTTGTGTGTATAAGAAGGGAAAAACTATGCTTCCAATCTCAAACAACTGGTTTTCTACACAACTACCTAAGTTTAGTGGCACAATCATTGTCACCTTATTCAAGGTTCATAGCTTTAAGTAATTTCTAGTTTAGTTTGTTAATCGATCAATCAAGCCTAAATTCAAAATCTTAACACTGTTATAATCAAAATAATTAGGTAAAACAATACAGACATAAAAATATGCACGAGGGTATGTAAGAAACTCTTCTTTTTTTTCTTTTTTTCAAAATACTACATAAGTTAAGGAAAGCAGACAAAGTCATATATCTCAAAATTCAAAAAGCAAAAATTCAGAGCACACAATTAATAACGCACATTTTGACAAAGTAACACTGAAACAAAGCCCAAGCATGAATGATGCAGACACACTAAAGAAACAAACAAATTTATAACTGTTCTTTCATATTTTTACACTAAGTTACAAAAGTATTGTATTCTTTTATAGAAGATTTTCTGTAAGTCCAGTTTTAAATACGTATTACTTGTAGCAAGCTGCTGCCACTCCCCCAGACAAGTTAAAGAAGTAATGTTGGATTTAAAAGCTCATGGTTTGAGGTCTGATTATGACATACCTGTAACCCCCGTTGACCTCAACACATCCACCAGGGAATAGTGGGGCAGGCCCGCAGGGACTTTGCAGATTGAGCATGCCAGGGGAAGAGGCAGCACGAGGCGCACTTTTTGGGCTGGGCCATGGGGGAAAACGGACTGGTGGTTTGAGTGCTGATGGGTTTGTCACAGTGGCTGGAGTGCCAGGTATGGGGAACAGGGACAGGGGCAGTGCGTTCCTGCAATCAGGGATCGAACTGACATCACCATTCAAATCAGGTGCACCTTGGCGCTGCTTAGCCCTTCTATTTAATGGACTGTGCAGTAGCCACAGAAAGTTCCGATGAATTGCTGCAGGGGATACGGGGGAAGGGGGTGTTGGACTAGAGGGGGATTGTGCAATAGGGGAGGGGTGAACAGGAGATAGTCGTGGCACCCTCATTGGCCAGGATGGGGACCTACAAAACACACACGATTGTCAAATACTAGCACTGAGGGTATTTACATAAAAATATTATGATCAGGCAAATGATACAGCCTACAAATAGCAGGTTCACATGATGAACATCTTGGTCAAGTTCTTTAAATTTAGAAAATGGTAAAGTTTTTTTTCTTTAAAAGACTAAGGCAAAGATTATGCTAAGGCAAGTAATTACAAAAGGATGAAAACTGCTTTCAAGACATGCAAATTGAAAATAAGCCATGCCAGTACATAGCAAGAACTGGTCATGCCAGAAGATCATGCAGAGTCTGATTTTCTTATTAATTAAATATATCCCGCCTCAAAAAAAGAAGAATACTGTATAGGCTTTGGAATAATGTGTAAACTGCAACCACCACAAGCAAGATATTTGTCAAAAACCATTTCGTTACTATACCCTGTCAAACAAACACAAGCGGGGCACGCCGCTCTATTAAATGAATTAGATAAGATACCTAATGATTAAGATGTTAGTTTACTATTTTAAAAAACAACCAAATCACCAAGACATATTTTCACTTGTTCAACAGCATCACAGCCCGGCAGATCCTACATTAAGTTGGATTAAGACAAACCAGCAGGGCAAGCACAAAGAAAATGCAGGGAAGAACTTCACAAAACATGGGAAGTGGAAAACAAACCCAACACTGATACATAAACCCGATAAACTCTCTACAATACCTGCTATTTTGGAGGATCTCAAATGATGCTGATTTCATAAGGATTGCGCACCAGAGATTACCAGGGCATGTTCGCACCCTTCGCCTGCATGCGATAACTTAGTTAGTTTCATGAATGGCAATGGGCCTTCTATCTGTCACCTCTCAACATGCCCCCCAAAAAGAAAGCCATAATTGAATAGACATGCGATATTAAAGGAAACAAAAGTAGAGAGTATGTCAAACTAAATAACTGCTGGTAGGTTGCAGTTCAAACATTGTAAATCTTTCTTACTAACACCCTTATTTTTTGGCAAACTATTCTTTAAAAAATAAGGAAAGAGAAATAGTGCGATAATTTCCATAACAAATTGTAGGGCAAAAACAAACCCATACACTTGTACATTTGAGAATCCATGTGAGGATAGTCTACAAAAGCACATGCAATAAGAGAAACCGTTCAACAACAAGAAAAGTAAGAGGCAGAGAAGTTATTTACACAGCATGAGAAAAAATATCGAAAAGTATGTGCTGTTCATAGATTTAGAAAAAGATTTATGTTGAGCTTAATTACATTTCAAACCTTTAATGTGCAGGAAAAATTAAGAAGAGACCTCTATCACAGAAACTCAGAAACTAACCGTCACCTCGCCTTCACCACACGCACAACTTGAATATGAATATATTTCGTTTTTAAAGTAAAGGCAAGTTGAAGTTGCATGCTGTACCTTATGTGTCCCGAGTCCCCCGAGCTGCTCTGGCGGGAGTGCTGGCTCTGACTGTTGAGCGAGCTGTAGCCCGAGGCCCTGCTCATCTGGCTCGTGTTGGAGGAGTTCCGCGAGTGTCCCGGCTCGACCTCGTACCCGTCCTCCGCCTCGCCCTGCGCGGGCTCGGCCAGCGTGCCCTCCACGGGCTCCACGGCGCCGCCCTGGATGAGCTCTGTGCGGGGGACGGAGCGACACGTCAGCGACAGCAAGGCAAGACAGGAGACAACCGGATGCCATGTAAACACTACCTCCACAAAAACATCCTCCCAACCCAAATAATGATGATATTAAATTATTAAAAAAAAATTATATATAGTTATTTGAAAAAGAAAACAAAAAGACCAAAAATCAATCTGCATTTATTTTTGTCACCATTTTTGTTTTTGATAGTGGTGAAATGGATTGACTGCATGGGCACGGTTTGGTAGGTTTTTAAGAGCATGGCACCCGATTTATATTAGCATCCCCTAACGAGAACCTCAACAAGAGGAAGAGCAAATGGGCAAGCCAGACACCGTACCAGAGTTGAGCAGGGCGGGCCTCTTCTTGGGGAGGCTGCCGAAGCCGGAGCTGCCGCTCGCAATAGAGCCGGGCAGGGAGCTGCTCGAGTGCTCCCTGTGCCTGTCGGTGTCCTCCTGCGAGGAGAACTGCTTCAGCGAGGGGGACGGACTGCAACAGCACACAAGCACGGTCAGGCACAGACAGCGAGCGTGGGGGTGGCTGAGGGGGAGGGG